AAAAAAAAAAAAAAAACAACTTGAGCCACTTCCCTAGTCCTTTAATAAAAAATAAAAAAAAAAAATAAAGAAGCAGAAAGTCATATGTGACAGTCCTAGCCCTGGTTCCCATGGGAGTGTGATGCTCACTACGATAAGGAAGTCAGACATAAATTCACCCTTTTTCCCTGCCTGCCTTGCTGCTTTGAGAACCCTCCAGTCACTTTAAATTTTTGACCTTTTCTAAACCAAAAGATACAAATAGACAAAATTCCCATTCATGGTAGAACCCTATGGCCTTGCTGTTCAGCAAACAGCACTTGGGAGGCTGAGAAAGGAGGATCATAAGTTTGAAACCAGTCTGCGCTGTCTCAAAAAAAAAGCTAAATAAAAACAAAAAACAAACAATAAAAGATACTTGTTAAGAGATTTAAAGAGCCTATCAAAATCTAGTCACTATAGCCTTCTGGAGGAAGGAGTTGTCATTCATTTGCTTACTCATTTTGGCAGTACTGGGGTTCTGAACCTAGTTGATCAGGCAGGCACTCTACCAGTTGAGCCATGCTCTCCAGTTCTTGATTTATTCAGGCAGCAACCATTCATCAAAATTATGCTGTATGCTACATATACCAGGCACTGGGGATAAATGCAATAACTAGGATCATAACTTAGGGCTAGGTATAGAGATTCACACCTGTAATCCCAAGTACTATGGAAACAGATCAGGAGGACCATGTTTTGAGACCAGTCCAGGCAAAAAGTTAGTGGACCACCAACTCAATAAGCCAGCTGCAGTGGCCCACAGTTGCAATCCTAGCTACAAGAAAGTCTGTAGTGGGCTGGGAAAGTGGCTCAGTGGTAGAGCGCTTGCCTTGCGTGCTCAAGGCCCTGGGTTCGATTCCTCAGCACCACATAAGCAAAAAGAAAAAAGCCGGAAGTGGCACTGTGGCTCAAGTGGTAGAGCGCTAGCCTTGAGCTGAAGAGCTGAGGGACAGCGCCCAGGCCCAGAGTTCAGACCCCACGACCGGACCCAAAAAAAGAAAAGAATGTCTGTAGTGTAGGTAGATTGTAGTGTGAGGCCAGCCCCAGGTCCATCTTGAAAAATAATGAAAAGCAAAAATGGCTGGGACCTAGTTCAAGTGGTAGAGTGTTAGGACTCAGTTATGTTCATTTGTTTAATTATCATCTATGGCTCTGTTTACACTATAGGAATTGAGTAGCTACAACAAGCATATGGGCAAAAAAGCAAAAAGTATTTATTATTCTCCATTTTACAGAACATATTGCAAATCCACAGTTTTGCCAGCTACAGGAATACCACCTTGGAGCAGAAGGTAGAACCAGGTTTCTTCCCCTCTTGTACATATTGGAGTTTGCAAACCCTACCTTCTCATGCCCTTAATGACTGGATCTCCTCTACAGCACTGAGTACACTTGTGCTGCTTCTAAACAACATTTGACATTCTGACCATACTCAGCTCCAACAATGTCAACTAATGGTAACAGCTGCTCCTCTATCATCAAATCCAGCCAGTTTTTTTCACTCCCACACACCCAATCCCTTGTCCCTGGGTACTTGCTGAGAACACTCTCAGCGGTTTGGAAGGGCCAGCAGTGCTAGCCTCGGTCACCTTCATCATCTCTTTGGACAGCTCCCTCATGGTGGCCTGTATCTCAGGGATCTTCACAAGACTTTGCATAGCCTTCATCACTTCTGTGCTCTTCTGCAAGGAGCCAGCCACTCGCAGGACCGCTGAAAGGGAAATATTGCAGTCAGGATGGGTCAGCACGAAAACACAAGAGGTGACCAATTATGAACCACTTCAATCAAAGGGAACGGTAGCAAGTGAACTCACAAATACACACTGATGTGCCTTTGGGGTGTACTACTGGGTTAGATGAGCAAAAGCTTATTTTTTCTCCTTGTCTCCCCATTCACAATACAGACTAGGTACAGGCCTGGGCTGAGGTGTATATGGGGTACGTTTACTCTGCCTCCTCTTTCTATACAGCCAGTGTAAGAACACAGCCTATAGTAAGCACCCGGAGGCCAAAAGCTTATTTTTTTTAATTGAGGAATATCTGGTATACTATTGTGTGAAATCTCAGAGCTTTCATATCACTAGATACCTTCTGAAGGCAAGCTAGAATGCATCTTCAGTGAAGGAAGCAAACTCAGTATGACCCTTTAGTAGGTGAATAAATAAATTGTGGTATACTCAGACAATAGAATATTACTCAGTATAAAAAGAAATGAGCCAATAAGAGTTGAAGATCGAGGACTGTAGTGAACATTGTAGAGATGCCTATATCTCAATACACTGAAAGCAAAACAGGGATGAAAAGTGTGGTTCAAGTGGCCAAGTGCCTGTATAAGCACAAAGCCCTGAATTCAGGGCTCAATTTTTCTAAAAATAAAGATAACAAATATTCTGGATTCTAGTGGCTCATGCTTATAATCCTAACTATTCAGGAGGCAGAGATCTGAGGATTGTGGTTTGAAGCCAGCATGGGCTGTGAAACTTTTCTGTGAAACATCTCTAATGAACACCAAAAAAACAACCAAGAGGTGAAGCTGTGGCTCAAGTGGTAGAGTGCTATTTTTGAGCAAAAGAGCTCAGGGACAATGCCCAGGACCTAAGTTCAAGCCTCAAGATGAGCATGCACACATACATACATATACACAGCAACAACAACAAAATTTCACCAAAGTAGGCATAGATGCCATCAAAGAAGAAACACATTTAGATACGAGAATGTGAGTAAAATCAGGATAGTAGATGTGTACCACTGTGTGACCAACATGCTGAACACAGAATATAGTAAGTAGTTACTAAATGAACAGATCAATAACCAAACTACAAAGGATTATCTAGTGGCACAAAGTCCCCAAAAGCATTTATTATAATAAAGAAAAATTTCTACCTAAAATCCTCAAAAATCAAATATTTTAAGTATTGTCTTATATTTAATCAGTTCTAAAATACCAAAAAACTGTCAGAAGCCATTGGCTCATACCCAAAATCATAGCTACTCAGGAGCCAGCCTGAGGAGGAAAGTCAAGGAAACTCTTATCTCCAGTAAAAAAAAAACAACTCTGGGACAGTGTCCAAGGTCTGAGTTCAAGCCCCAGGACTGACTAACACACACACACACACACACACACACACACACACACACACACA